TGCAGGTGATGTGTTGGTCTTTATGAGTTTATGCAATTTTGTGTTGTTTATTTTTTAATGTGGTATTTATAAGATGTGTTTTTCATGGTTTATGATGTAGGCCTTGATGATGATGACGATGATGATGGCGTTGCTGAGGTTGATGTCAGACCGACACGTCCCACCCGCAGTCGGCGACCACCAGCTCCTCCTGAGGGTGGATGGACACTTGATCATGTCATGGCATCCATATATGATCTGACTACTGACTTTAGAGGATATAGACAGAGCACGAGCAAGTGGCGGAACCAGATGGACACAAGGGTTGCACGGTTGGACACAAGGGTTTCACGCTTGGAGGGTTTAATTGGCGAGGGTGCCCATACTCAGGAGGAGGAGGAGGAGGATGATGACAATGGGGATGACACACAATCGGATGAAGAGAATGGAGAGGACACGCCATCGGATTAGTAGGCCCAACAACGTACCAACTGAGCATCCGGAATTACAGTAGGCCCAACAACGGATGGAATCAACAATTCATTGCCAATAGGAAACCAGTGTGCAGCATATACTTTAGCAATGGTTGGAATTTTGAAAACATGATCAATCATAATGGTTTAGCTTGGCTACCTTGCAAACTGCTAATACATGACTGCAGGGATACCTCCTTGCTGTAAACCTACCACACTGACATGTACGATTGATTAGTCCACTCTCATGATGTCACCGACCTCGTGTGTAGATTGATTGTAGGCATCCTCAACCTCAAACAATAACAGCTCACTATCATATATCCTCACACGATAAGTGCCGGCCAATTCATCATTTTTTTGCAAAGCTGCCTCAACCTTCTTTGAAATTATCCAACCTTGTGAGATATCTTTTTCAATCCCTTCACATCTCTTGACGAAGTACTCAACGAGTCTACTGAATGTCATCTTGACCAATGCAGTTATAGGCAGATACCGCCCTTATGATGCTTCGATGACGATCGGATATTAGACAAATACCATGCCTATGTGTGACATGAAAACGTAAAAGGCTAAGAAACCAGGACCAATCATCCAACCTCTCACCTGGAGGAACAACAACAAAGTCAATAGGGATGAGCTCAGAAATTATTTACAGTATGAAGTGGCAAAGAAGGGTCACATGCTTTCACATACCCCAAAGCAAAATTATTTACTCACTTGGAGGAACAACAGCAAAGGCAATAGGGAGCAGAAATCCATCTCCATCCTGAGATGTTGCAATCAATAGAGTACCTCTGTACTTCCCATACAGATGAGTGCCGTCAATTTGAATTATAGGCTTGCAGTGTTTGAATGCTTCAATGCATTGGTGAAATGTCCAAAAAACCCTTTGAAATACGGCCCTGTCTGTATAAACCCGACGTTCATCAAAACATTGATTTGTATCAAGCTTGAACACAGAACCCACATTCACCTCCGTCATATACTTCAGCCAATTTGGCAAGAATGCGTACGATTTCTCCCAGTCACCAAACAACTTAACGATGGCCTTCATTTTTGCCTTCCAGGCCTTCCTGTACGTTATGTTGTATCCATATGTTCCCTGTATCCTCTCCTGTATCAGAGCTGGTCTTGTGGATGGATCTTCCTTTAACATATCTGGAAAAAAAAAATAACTTTACCATATTCTCAATTAATCTGAATCATTAAATACACAGTAGAATACATACTCATTATAGCCGCACAAATGACATTTGAATCCAACTGTCTATGATCCTGTGCTAGGCCTTGATTTAGGCATGTGTGACCTTGACCCCATTTACGGACCACCCAATTAGCTCCCTTCTTCGGCTTAATTGCCCTCATATACCAGGGACAACCGTCAGCATGGTTTTTACACTTCATAACAAATCTTGACTCGTCGCTTTTTTCAACTATGGCTGTCCTGCGCCCCTTCATACAATGTATCTTCACAGCATGTTGCAATTCTGGTTTGGACCCAAATTCTTGTTGCACAAATAACGGATCTCCTAACTTCCAACCTCCGTGCAAGTCATCATCGCCATATAGGATCTCCAACTCGTCATTAGGGTGCGCCCAGTTAATGAATGAATAATGTTGGCTTTCATTCCAGAATGGCTCCTCAGACCCTGCATCTAAAGATCAACTCTCATTTGTCTGAATGAATACCACCACAAATAATAAATTGTCTAAAGCAAATGTTCAAATTTAATAACTTACCACTACTGACTGGGTCGACATGAAGTGGTGACAAGGCTGGGGTACCGAGACTTACGGCGCTCATGTCAGCCTCAAAATTACCGTCCACGTCAGTGTCTGACGAATCACCTTCTGGAATAGCACTTTCAGGTTCTCCCTCATCTTCGCTGTCCACATAGTCCTCGTCTTCATCCTCTTCATCCTCATCCAATGCTACCTGAGGAGGTGCAGAAGATCGTACAACTGTATCTTCTTGACCGGTACAGTGTGCAGTAGTGGTTGTATGCACCGGTAAAGATGAAGATTGACCAGCATCAACTTCAACATATATCTCAATATATTTTAATACTTTCCATTCAACAAACGCATCTGTTACGAACTCCACATCTTCATCATCATTTATATCGTTTCCAATGTAGTATATTGTATCCATATCCACTACAGTCTCTAACCTGGCTATCATGCGGTGGATGGAATGTATGCCTTCTGACCCCATTTTTTGAAGAATTCTCTCCTTCAGTTCATTGCATGTAGTGCCCACTTTGATTTTCATCGTTTTTGTTTTTCCTTCAAATCGGACACCGTTCGGACCTTCAAAATGCCTCCCATTGTAGTAAATAACTATAGGAACCATGTTTGGACTTGAACTCATCTTTCACACAAAAATTAGATCTAGGTTTTGGGTTTGGAGGTTGGTTCGGATTTTTGAGCACAAAATGGGAGTGTGGAGATGTAATCTCAATGTCCCACCAAGATTCAGCTTTCTGAAATGATGAGATGAAATATGTGTGATGTTTCGGATTAGAGAGGGTAAGAGAGAGAGATTTGGGGTTTCAAAAACCCTATACCTCGCAACAATGGCCGAAACCCATACATATTGGGGTTTCTGGACGCGATTTACCCGGGTACACTGATCCATACCCGGGTAAATAATTCAACCATTTTCCCAGATTCAAGAACTCTACCCGGGTACACTCCTACATACTCGGGTAGATAAAAAATTTTCAAAATTTACCCGGGTAGGTAATGGTGTACCCGGGTAGGCTTCGTGGTCAACGGTCAAACAGGGGCAGATTGGTGTTATGTTTGTTGGGGAGGGTAAATTTTCGAAATAGTTTTGAATGAAGGACAATTTGGTAATTAATTATTAATTAAGGGTCATAAGGGTCAAAAAGCCAGTATAATTCATTTAACCTTGTATGTACTGACTTAATGACAAATTCTTTTCAAATAATGTTAATTTATTATGGTAATTGAATGGGGATGAAACTCAGAAAGAACAAAATAAAAGTCAAAGATCTCGGAAGATAAGGTGCGCCTAAAATACTCGTTTGTGATGGTAATTCTTAAATAAACATTGCTTATTAAAAGTATTTTATTTTACTTTAAACTTATATAAAATTGTATTATTAAATTAAAAATACATCGACTTTCTTTAGAACACCCTTACACATCAATTTTTAAACGAAATATTGTGGTAAGTGGTAACCATTATGCCTAGCCAAATATTTTTCTTACAAACAGAAATATAGAGTGGTCATTAACCAGAAAAGCTAGCTCCTATGTCCTTGCTTAGTTTCTATGTCCTTGCTTAGTTTCAAATGGATTTGGATCCTGTCATGTGAAAAAATAATAATGTGATTATGTTATTTGATCTCAACCATTCATTTTCACTCATTAATGATGTGATAAGAGAGAGAAAAATATATAATTTTTAAACGAGTAATTGTGATCAAATAACATGACTATTTGTTCACATGAGAGGATCCAAATCAATTTTTAACATTATTTAATTGCAGCATCGTATGGCTTTGATAATAAAAAACGAAATATAATCCCTCACCAAAAAATAATAATGAAATATATTTATTTCAGAATAATGATAGCGTGGGATATTCCCTTTTCAGCTCCCTTTATTACTAGATAAAATCTTTCACTAATGCCACTAACGAAAATATGTCCAAATTATTCACATAAAATATTAAAATTTAATCCAGTAATAAAAAAAAGATAAATAAAATCTGTTGTTAGGCTACTTTATTTTTTCACAAAATCCGACCTCTAATTTTTTGGAAGGATGAAATGTCTGGGCAAGCTCATATAAAGAATATAAGCTCTAAATACGTGTCTTGAACTCCTTAACACACTGCTCCAGACAAACTGAAAACTCTATTTACGATTCATAATTTATAATGAAATTGACACATGAAAACATGTTGCTAATGATTAAATTCAACCATCTAAACATGACTAAAATTCTGAAGCAACATTGTCCTCAGATATTAAATTTTATCTAAAAGAATAAAGATGATACAAACTGCTAAGGATGTACAGTTTGGGTTGGATGTATCATGGTAAGCAGTAAGCACATATAACATTCACGATTGTCACACATATTTCCTACAATCACGGATGTTTGGATTTTTTGAGAGTTAAATGATTATATCTTTATTTTTTAATTTCAGATAACAAATATTTAAATCAATTGGTGTGAAGGGATAAAATATTTCATTGAAAATGAAATAACGGTTACTCAAAATTCAAACATTTTGAAATTCATGATAGATATCAATCTATCATATATATCTTATCTAACATTGTATTTAAATGCACACACATTACCATTATCATTCTTCAAACCAATTAGGATTCCCAAAGTTTTGGAATACAAACTTGTCACCCAAGTCTGTCAACTCTTAAAGCAACAAAGGAAGAAGAATGGTTCGATTACCTCAGAATCAACAAAATATGAATGGACGGTTCGCACAGTGGACATGGTCACAGGAACGGGCTTTTAAGGAAGCCATCGCAATCTTCCCAGATAACATGCGGTGGCAGAGGGTTGTAACTTATGTGCCAGGCAAGACCCCGGATCAGATAAAGGAACACTTTCATGCATTGCTCCACCACTTGTACCGAGTTGAACCGGGTCGGTTTGAGTTGCCCAGTTACTCATATGACTCCGCGACGGTCATGGTAGAAGCAAATGATAGTTTGCCTGAGAAGACTACTCCGGTTCAGAAGAAGAAAATGTGGACTTGGACTGAAAAAGAACATAGGTATGCAATATCTAAGAACCTCTTCTTGTTTTATTATTTTTATTTTTCTAATTTTAAAAATGATTTTTCTTTAGATTTGTAGGAAAAAAAATGAAACAGCTACAAGAGTCGCAGAGTTGGGTTCTCAATGTTCCATTGCAGCAAAACCAATAAATGTTTGTAGAAGTCATTTTTGAGCAGACATATTTTTGTTTAGCTAGCCTATTGATTTTACCATACCATGGTTCAGTTTGTATTTCTTTGAATTTTTTTAAAATTGTAATATAAAGTAACTCATGATTCATTTGATGTACTAAATGCAAGTTACATCAATAAGATTTAACAAGCACTCTGTTATCCTTGTAACCATATCTTTTAATATCATATGATAATAACTCATGGGTGGCACTGGCTGAACATTAATTAGCATCACCAATCTTTCGTACACAGTTCTCCAACACTCCACTTTTCAGGCCCTTAGTATTTGGCTTATGTTTCGGAACAAAAAGGTTTTAAGAAGGGCATGCTATGCTATCCAAGCAGGCTTCTATTAACAAACAAGGTATGATTTTCTATCCGTCACCTAAAATAGCCTCTATTTATATGACAAACAGAGTAATTACCCCTTTAGAAGAGGTCAGGCCAAAAAAGAAAAGAAGAAGAAAAAAGCAATATAATGTAAGCTCAATGCAAAATGATACGTTCTCTCTTCTTTATTTTCTATCTCTTCTAATTGTATGGGAAAAAAATATAAAATATTATCAATTATACATCAAAACGACATCATTTCATCTAAAATAGTATAACATTAAATTCTTTAAACAAAACATTTTTTTTGCATAAAGCTTGAGATGCAATATAAAGTTTGTTAATCAACTTTGCTTCCAATCTTTCGATCCTAACACTGAGTTGACACATCAACTCTTCAGAGTATTCGCTTTTCAAATCATGTATACCGGGAGATTATATTTATAAACTTTTTGTTTACAAACTATACTGTGTACTCCCGGAAGTATACTAGGTTACACTATATACTTCCGGGAGTACATAGTGTAATTTACAAAAAAAAATTGTAAAAAAAAATTTGTAAACGAATTCTTTCCCATGTATGTTGCAGGTCTTCCATAATCATGCACAAAGCAAGAAAAATGTTTGTTAATAAAGTTAAAAAAAAATTAATAAGGTTTCTAAATTTGTCCTATTGTTAGATATTTATAAAACACTTGATAAGCTCAAGAAACTGGCCTCAATTGATGGAGCTTGAAGAGTTTCATTCCAGGAAGCAGCATTGTATTTCTTCAATGATCCTCACTAAATATGTGGATGTATTAGGATATGATCATACATTCAAAAATATAAAATGGGCAATATTCACATTTCAAAGTTCAAAATATTCCCGCACGAGAGTGTGTGTGTTAGAGAAATATATTATAAAAAAGTATTAAAAGTCCATTACTTAATAGGTTAAGCTGTGAGATCAGCGTTTTAAAACAAGGCTTGGACCGGTCGGATCGACCTGGATTTCAATGACCCGGTGCCCTCATTGGTTCGAGCTAGGCATTAAATCGGTCATATAGTCGAACCGGTATCAACCCGGTGGACTGGTCATAACCCGCAATTCAACTAGTGGTGAACCGATTTTATGTTAAATTATGTAAACTATATACATTTTGCAAGCAACGAGATTTGAATTTGAATGCCCTTGTTTAAAGATCGATAAGCTTATCAATGTACCACTTTTATTTGTTAGACATGTTGTTCATAATTTAATATTTATTATATATTATCTTGAAATTTGGTTAAACTCAATTGAACCATTAACCTAGTGCCTCAATTGAATTGATGACCGAGACGAATTTTAAAACATGATATGGTTACTTTGTATTAGAGTATCAGTCAGTGGCCAAGGAATAAAGAATTAGATTTTTATACTTTCTAATAAAATTAAATGGGGTAGGATATATTTACTATCAAAAAAGTTTTTCACATTTACAACTAACCTAATCACCATTGATTTTCGTTAATATAAGGTTATAATTTATTGAGAATTAATAATTAATTAATAAATGCGACCCAATAATTTCCAATAAATTATAACCGTTAGATTGATGAAAATCAACGGTGATCAGGTTAGTTGTAAAGGTGATAAATTTTTTTGGTGGTAAATATATCCTTCTCCAAATTAAATAAGCATAAAAAACTAAAAAAAATATTAAAAAAATATAATATAAAAATCATTCCCTTAATAGTTTTAAGTCTTCATGTAACCTTATTATGGCCTGATTACTAACATCCTAATCCTAGTGTTTATTCGAGATACTGCTGTGGTGCAGTTTTCGTGCTTGGTTGGACTATCTCTAAGTGATCTGGAATTGATTTGGAGAGGGTAAAGATTTATGAATCTTGGGCTCTTGATGATTGGGCCTTTAATTCAAAGTTCATAAAAACAAATGAAATTCAATTTTACAGCAGAAATAGGCACATGAAAATTAGGAAATTAGTTTTGGTATAACGACATTTCATTTTTCGAATGGATGTTAAAACTTTGAAGCATCATCATATTCCATCATGATTAAATCTGATTTCGAATATTTTTCTTCCTCATTTTTCGTGTTGCCCCCCTAGCAAATGAAATAATGAATAGGTTGCTCCATATAAGCCCAACACATATTGAAGAAAATAAGATAAGATAAGTGGACCACAACATCATAACCTCTTGGAGATTACCACATGATACGTAACCATGGTGAATGTTATACTATAACTCCTTGGGGGATAACAGAAATAACCGAATTAATTAGATTTTAAGGGATAACACATTTTCAATGAAAAATGCAATAACGCGTAACAAAAGTTCAAACAAGTTTTGAAATTGACGATATTTTCGTATCTACTCAATCAATCTTATCTAACCTTGTATATAAATGCAAATCCATTACCATTAGTCCATTACCATTCTTCAAAACCATTAGTTCATTTTTCACATGCATTTTAAGATGGTAGCTTTATGTTTTGCCTTATTTTTTGAAACATAAAACTCAAGATAGATTTTCTGAAACTCTTACAAATTAAACATCCTTTGTGTTTCATGTGACAGGTTATTTCTGATTGGGCTAGAGAAAGATGGCAAGGGAGATTGGAAAAGCATTTCAAGGAATGTTGTTAAATCAAAAACTGCAACTCAAATTGCTAGCCATGCCCAAAAGTATTTCATTCGTCAAGGTTTCCCAAAAGAGCAGAGAAAAAGAACAAGCATCCATGACATAACCATAATAAAAGACATTGCCTTGGGTGATCAGCTTCATTCTCCAAATGTTCCAATGCAGGAGCCACAAGCACAACAAATTCTGCAAAGTTGTTTTCATCCAGCTCCTAATATTCCAGTGCAGCAAATTCATACAACAGAAATTATGAAGAATATGGTTCATGCTCCTAGTGCTCCAATGCAGCAGTTAAAGGAGCAGCAACAAGACCAAGAAACTATGCAAAATTGGGTTTATCCTCCTTATATTCCAAGGCATCAATTACATGCAATGCAACAAGCACCAGAAATTCTAAAGAATTTAGTTTATGCTCCTAATATTCCACTGCAGCAGCTACAAGAGCCGCAGAGTTGGGTTCTCAATGTTCCAACGCAGCAAAACCAATAAATATTTGTTGAAGTCATTTTTGAGCAGACATATTTTTGTTTAGCTAGCCTATTGATCAGCTTGAATTTCTTTGAATTTTTTTTTTTAATACAATTTTTTGATTTTTTAAATTGTAATATAAAGTAACTCAGTCTGTAGTATCTCATAGTAGTACCTCTTTTGGTTGAACATTTGAATTCTTCGGCAAACTAACTTTGTCATTCAGGGAAACTGGGTTTCCTGTTCCCAAATAAAATATGCACATGCATCATCAATAACACAGAATTGTACATAACCAACGGAACATAGACAACCTGAAAACAAAACCAATTAATAGTTAGCTAACTCATTGGGTTATGCTTAGAATTGAAAATGTCAAAAGCTTCCTCATATAAATCAGCCACATTTTTCTAAAATCATGCCATCTATTATCAATTACAGTTTATTATACAAAACTACTTTAAATAAAATAGAAAATAGGATTTAAGCTTTTTTTAAAGCAAAATTATTAACCCTGGCCAAACACCAGTCAGAAGAAGAAAACAAAAAAGACTAGTATATATAAGTTACACACAGACCAAATGAGAGGGAGAGAAGCTAAAGGAACTGTACGTAAACACATTTGGTTTCCATTCTGAAGTAAACCTGATTGCTCATTTACTCAGTGTCAAATTGGTGTTAAAGAAGGGGATTCACACCCATATATTATCTGGTTTACAAGTTACAACTAACGAACAGGGCAAGCAATTATTCCATGATTCATTTGATGTACTAAATGCAAGTTACTTCAATAAGATTTAACAAACTCTGTTATCCTTGTAACCATATCTGTGAATATCATATGATAATAACTCATAGGTGGCACTGGCTGAACATTAATTAGCATTACCAAGCTTTCGTACACAGTTCTCCATCACTCCATTTTTCAGGCCCTTAGTATTTGGCTTATATTTCGGAACAAAAAGGTTTTAAGAAGGGCATGTTATATTATCCAAGCACGCTTCTCCAAACAAACAAGGTATGATTTTCTATCTGTCACCTAAAATAGTCTCTATTTATATGACAAACGAAGTACTTACCCTTTTAGAAGCGGTCAGGCCAAAAAAGAAAAAAAAGAAAAAAAACAATATAAGCATAATTTTGGCTAGAGGAGGCTATGATATGATAATTACCCAATTAGAGACCTAATCGAGCTCTGATGTTATTTTTAAAAGGGTTTAGTGTGAGTTCTTTTAAAAGAGTATAAAGTTATGTCATTTCCCTCCTTAATTATATACTTCAGAGAGTAGATAATTATAATATGAAAATTATTTTTTTTTTCTCTCTCCATGTTAACAGACAATTATGAAAAGTTTCTAAAAAGAAAGGAAAAAAAAAGCAACTTTAATATTATAACTATATATTCTCTGGAGTACATACTTATAAAACGTTGAAAGAACATAAGCTTATATCCTTTAAAAGGATAAATAATTTTTTCTAAGTTATACTTTTTCTACTTTCCACGTCATCAAATAGTGTCTGAAAAAAGAAAAAAAATTACAACTTTAATATTATAACTATATATTACTTTTAAGAGTGAGGATATTCTAACTACCAAAAACTCTCACTACTAACTTACTACCCATCACATCACCATTGGATCAAAGAAAGAGAATGTTAAAAAGTTTTTGAAGAGAGAGAAAATGTTAATTTAATGGTGATTAGATAGGTAGTAAGGTGGTAGTAGAAAATTTTGGTAGTTAGAATATCCCTCCTCTACTTTTAATATATAATTATAAATTGTTAAAAGAATAAGTTACATCTTTTATTTAAAAGCACAAATCATTTCCCCTCGTATTAAATAGATAGTTGCATTACTATACATTTTGTTTCTAGATTTTTTTCATTTCCATAATTTGGGCTTGGGTTGTCCAATATGTACTATAACTTCAACAAAAAGCTATTTTAATTTAACAAAATATTTTATGTTTTATTAATAATTGTAAAACTATTACCTTATTTTTAATTTATTTTTTGTTTTTAAATATATAGAAAATAGTGAAAACAACAAAATATTTTGTTATTTTTATCATTTCTTATATAAATTATTAAAAACAAGAAATTAAGTAAAAATAAAGTGATATTTGTATAATTATTAATAAAAATAAAAATATTTTCTTGACCAAAAGAGATCCTGAGGCTCCTATTTACCTTTTTTTTCCCATCCATAATATCAAATCACAATTACAATTTACTAAAGTAATGAATTTTCACGGAAAATATATCGTGTTAGCAACTAATTATTTTAAAAGCTCACAGAGTCAAAGACCAATAAAATGTTATGCGAAAGAAAGAAAATTTGGTTTTACACGTGTTATGGACCAGGATTATGCCCATGATCAGCAAGGCCCACGATCAGCGCAGGCCCACAGGTAAGCATTATAAATAGGAGCTGGACGCTACAGGTATGACCTAATCTCTTTTTACTGATACACACAATCAAGACAGTACACACACACACCTCTTCCAAGGCTAAGGCCATTCGATAATGTGTGATATGCTGTCCTCAAGATACTTAACTCATAGATATCCAGAGAAGACGCCTGGATCATAGATCAATCATCCAATCCCAATTGGATACATCTGCCAAGGGCAGAACATTGGCGCCGTCTGTGAGAACCTTTTCCACGGCAAACGTTATGAAAGTCAGCAAAATCGATGGTGAGAGCTACGAGGAGTGGTCTCCGCCAACCCACCGAATCGAACCTCCAGGTTCCTCCTTCTGTTAGGGAGGGTCCCGTGGAGTCAAGGCAGCAGATGCCGCAAATCCCAGATTCGGATGCGGTGCACGTTAGTGATGTGCATTCAGATTCAGCATCAACTCCTGCGGTCAACCCAAATGCCCCATACCTCCCGGGATTGCAACCAATTGAGGACGCAACAACAGAAGCCTCGGATCCACGGGTGACGAATTTAGCTATGGAGGCCGTACTTCGAAGGATAGAGGAGTTGGAACAGCGTAATGAGCTGCAACAGCAAGCGGATGCAAGACAGATCCAAGATTTAGAAGATCGGTTGTGGCGCGCTACAAACCTAGATCCCGAGCGGGCCATAGCGCAGGTGGTGACGGATCTGCAAACTGCGAACCCCCAGCAGGGCACTCAGGAACGCTCCCATCGTCCGGTAAGGGCTAATGCTGGACCCGGGTTCATCTCACAAACCCTAGCGCACCCCGGGTCACGCCAACAGCCACGGAACCCTGTGGGTCCGGGACACGCTGGACACAATCAGCAACCTCGGCGTGCGCCAGACCCACAGCGCCTTGCCGAGATCCACCGTCAGGGGCCCATCGTCCGGGCTCTAGATGACGTAACCAGGGTGTACCGAAGAAAATACAACATGGGGCAGTACAACGACAATCCCTTCGCTGATGAGATCGTGGAAACCCCATACCCGGAAAATCTAAATTTATCCGAGTTGATTAAGTATGACGGAACACAGGACCTGCAGGTACATTTGGATGCCTTTGATACAGCTATGTACATCAAAGGGATAGAGGAACCCTTGATCACAAGGCTCTTTGCAACTACATTAACCGGTGCAGCCCAGGCGTGGTTTTCGTCATTACCGGCGAGATCTATCAAATCATTTGAGGAGTTTGGTGGGCGTTTTTTACTAAATTTCGCCACCAGCAAGAAGCAGCCCAAGTCAGAATTCGCATTGGGAAAAATTAAGCAGCAGCCAGGGGAGACATTACTGAAGTACTTGGATCGGTTCAAGTTAGCCGCGCTCCAAGTGCCCGGGTTGCCAGAAAACGTTCATTTACATCTGGTGATAGCCGGGTTACACGGAACATCCCGGTTAGCTAAATCAATATACAAGGATCCACCTCGGACCTTAGTCGAGTTCAATACTCGTTCCAAAAAATACCTGGAGCTCGAGCAGATGGAGTGGGAAAATGTGGATCAAAGGCAACAACCTGGTCAGGGAGAGAAGCTCGGGGGCCGACGGATGAATGACCTTCGAGGAAAACGGCAGGATGATAGGCAACAGGCCAAGGGAAGGTTTGATAAATATGCCCCCCTGAACTCTCCTCAGTCGCAAATATGGCGCGAGGTTGCGTTTACCGATATGAAGAAAGTCGAGCGACCTCGGCCCTTACAAAACCAGTCCGGTTTGGATCGAACCCGGTATTGCGCATTCCACGACGGTCCGGGTCATACCACAGATGAATGTTGGGATCTTAGAGATGCAATTGAAAAATACATTAGAGAGGGGAAGTTGCGGCAATATCTAATCCGTACGCAGGGATGGAGAAATAGGAAGCGAAGAGGAGGGCGGCTAGGAAGCCCGCCCAAGGGAAAGAAGTTTAAAGAGGAGGGACGAGGTAAGAAGCCGAGTAAAGAAGACGACGAGTTCCCAGAGCCGGAGTTCGAGTGCAACGTGATCAGTGGAGCTTTTGGCGGTGGTGGCGACACCATGAACGCCCGAAGAAAATATTCGCGTGAGGTGCTTTCAATTCGAGAACGCCCCAAGTTCAAGCAGGAAGAGGAACCAGAACAGCCACTACTATACTTCACAAAGAAGGAACTCGAGGATGTAGTGCCAGGGCATGTTGATGGGTTGGTAATTACAGGAACATTGGTGAATTGCAGAGTTAGGAAGATTTTCCTGGACAATGGAAGTTGTGCCGATATAATTCTGTGGCACGCATTTAAGAAGATGAATTTAGATGAAGAAGATTTGAAGCCTTGCAACACGGCTTTAATTGCGTTTAATGGCCATAACACTACTCCCAAGGGGTACATTGATCTTCGATTAACATTAGGGACTAAGGAGGCATACAAGTCCGAGAGGGTGAGGTTCATTGTAGCCGACTTTCCATCCGAATACAATGTAATTTTAGGAAGACCTATAATTCATGCGTGGGACATGCTAGTCTCAACCAAGCATCAGAAGTTGAAAATGATTGGTAAGCAGGGTACGGTGCTTACCATAGCTGGGGACCAGAAGGAGTCTCGGGATTGTTATTTCAGATCTGTACGGATGGTGGACCAAGATCCCAAAGATGTAGCTGTGGTTAAACAGTGTGGTTACCAACCTTCGAAGCGGAGCTCGGTTAATATGGTGGAATTGGACATGAGAGATGAAACACAGGTGCCAAGGCCGGAACCCGACGGCGAGTTAGAGGAGGTAACCGTGGGAGCGCCAGGACAAACAACGAAGATAGGAAAGGGGTTGACGGATGAAGAGAAAGCTCAGCTGGCCTCCTGTTTGAGGAATTATAATGACATCTTTGCTTGGAGATCTTCAGATATTCCAGGGGTGGATCCAAACTTCTGCTGTCACAGGTTAGCTATATATCCCGGCTCAAAGCCGGTGGCGCAGAAGAAGAGGAAGCTCAGCTCAGAGCGTCGGCAAGTGCTCGAGGATCACGTGAAGGAACTTCTTGAGGTCGGATTCATTAGGGAGATACAATACACAACCTGGTTGTCAAGTGTAGTCATGGTGAAGAAGCCAAATGGAAAGTGGAGGGTATGCACGGATTACACTGACCTAAATAAGGTATGCCCTAAGGATGCGTATCCAATGCCCAACATCGACCAGCTGGTTGATAATTCTTCCGGTTTTCGTGTGCTATCCTTCATGGATGCTTATTCGGGGTATAACCAAATCCCGCTGCATCCCGAGGATCAGGAGAAAACTGCTTTTATGGCAGAGAAGGCAAATTACTGCTATAATGTGATGCCTTTTGGGCTGAAAAACTCAGGAGCAACGTATCAAGGAATGATGAACCAAGTATTCTCTGATCAGTTGGGTAGGAACGTTGAGTTGTACATCGATGACATGATAGTGAAGTCGGTTGATATGCCAAAACACGTTCGCGACTTAGAGCAGACTTCGATAAGCTCAAGCAGCATCGTATCAGGTTAAACCCGGTGAAGTGTGCCTTCGGGGTCTTTGCAGGGAAATTTCTCGAATTCATGCTCACACACAGGGGGATAGAGGCGAATCCGGACAAGTGTGGGGCGGTTCTAAACATGGCAGCGCCAACGAGCAAGAAGGAGATACAGCAGTTGACGGGAAGGTTGGCTTCCCTGACGAGGTTCCTACCCCGATCGGCGGAGACAACCCTGCCATTCTTTAAGCTGCTGAGGAAAGAAGCTCAGTACGGGTGGACCTCGGAGTGTGAAGCTGCGTTCCAGGAGATCAAGAGGCAACTTGCTTCCCCTCCGGTGCTGGCAAAGCCAAGGGAGTCAGAAACTTTAATTCTGTACTTATCCGTTGGAGATGTGGCAGTGAGTTCGGTTCTGGTGCAGGAGAATGCAGAGGGTCAACAACCGATATACTTCGTGAGTCGGCTCTTGCAAGGAGCCGAGCTTAGATATCAGCGGCTGGAAAAAGTGGTTTTTGCTCTTCTGGTCTCAGCACGGAGGCTCCGAGCGTACTTCCAGGGACACAGGATCCTGGTGAGATCCGACCTGCCGATCTGGCAAATACTCCATAAGCCGGATCTGGCAGGGAGGATGATGAGTTGGGCGGTGGAGTTATCAGAGTTCGACATAGCATTCGAGAGCCGAAAAGCGATCAAGTCTCAGGCGTTGGCTGACTTTGTCCGCGAGCTCACTTCAGTCCAAACGGCAGAGCCAGATAGCCCGGATACATGGCGTGTATATGTTGACGGGTCATCTAATGCAAAGGGCAGCGGAGCCGGGGTAATTATTGAAAACCCTGATGGTGTTGCAATTGAGTACTCTATGCAAATGGACTTTGATACTTCTAACAACCAAGCTGAGTATGAGGCCCTCATAGCCGGGCTGTTGCAGGCACAAGAGCTCGGAGCCCGGAAAGTAAAGGTTTACAGTGACTCTCAGTTGGTCACCTCGCAAATCGAGGGAAGTTACCAGGTAAAAAGACCTCTATTGGCCAAGTATCTTGAACGTGCAAGACGGATAATGGCGGACTTTGAAAAGGCAGAGGTTAGTCACATTCCTAGAAGTGAGAACAACAGAGCAGACATACTGTCCAAGTTGGCAAGTACAAAGGGGTGGGGAAACCACCGGACCGTGATTGAGCAAAGTATCCCGGCGCCGACATGCATCATGCAGATCTCCCGGGGGAATGATTGGCGTACTCCCATTATTGAGTACGTTGAAAGTGGAACTTTGCCTGTGGAGAAAGCAGAGGCCAATAAGTTAATCCGAGATGCGGCGTCGTACACCATAATAGAGGGACAACTTTATAAGAAAGGTATTTTCACCCCCCCTGTTAAAGTGTCTAAACTCGGATAGGGCCCAGTATGTTCTAGCAGAAATCCATCTGATCAATGGGCAACATGTCGGGGGAAAGGCGTTGGCCCGGAAGGCTCTCCGAGCTGGATACTTTTGGCCATCCATGGTTTATGATGCGAAGGAGCACGTACAGAAGTGCGATCAATGTCAAAGGCATGGCAGGAACCTATTGGCTCCCCCTGAGGAGTTGAGTATAATCACGGCTCCCTGGCCGTTTTACAAATGGGGAATGGATCTTTTGGGACCATTCACAGCAGCTGAAGGCCAGCTTAAATGGTTGGTGGTGGCAGTTGATTATTTCACGAAATGGGTTGAAGCGGAGCCAGTCGCAACCATCACTTCGGCTCGGATTCAACGATTTTTGGAGAGGAGCATCATATGTCGGTTTGGGATTCCGGCTGAGGTGGTAACCGATAACGGAACCCAATTCGCAAGCAAAGGGTTCCAGAACTTGATGGAAAATTTCCACATCCGGCATCGCTTTGCCTCGGTTGAACACCCTCAAACAAATGGCCAAGCAGAGGCTGCAAACAAAGTAATCGTGGAAGGACTTAGAAGGCGCATGGAGCAATCTGCCAAAGGAAGGTGGGTGGAGGAGTTATATTATGTCCTGTGGGGGTATAGAACCACAATTCAGACTTCTGTTGGGGAATCCCCATTCAGGTTAACCTACGGGTGCGAGGCCATGATCCCGGTAGAATTGGGAGAACCGTCTTGGAGAAGGGTTCAAGCCCTGTCGCAAGCAGAAGAGGTCAACAGCAGTAAAATAGCCATAGAGCTGGATTTGATAGACGAATGTCGGGTTATGGCACACTGCAGAAATGTTAGCGCCAAGCAGCTCGTGGCCAATAGGTTCAATAAGAAGGTGAAGCCCAGGACGTTTGAAGTGAAGGACTTGGTGCTCTGACGAGCAGATGTCGGAGGAAGGAACGCGGTTGATGGGAAGCTGGCTCCAAGATGGGAAGGCCCGTTCAGGGTAAAGAAACAACTTTCAAGAGGGGCCTACATTTTGGAAACCCTGCAGGGGAAACGTCTGGCAAGAACCTGGAACGCGGATAAGCTGAAAAAGTATTACAGTTGACAAAAACCTCAAGGCCTTTTCTTTCATCTTTTCTTTTATTGTATTATGCAATTTGAGTTATGAATAAATTCTTGTTTCCTTTTATAATTGGAATATATTGTGAGGCAGCAGAACCAAAGTGTTTCTGCCATTACAAATAACTCCGAGGTGTTTGAACCTAACCCGCCAAAGTGACAAGGGTAAGATTTCTAACCTTGCAAAGGAATCCGGGGTATTTGAACCTGTCTCACCCAAAGGGTGGGATTGAGTGTTCTAGCCACGGAAATAAATCCGGGGTATTTTAACTCGTCCGGCCCAAAGGCAGGATAGAGCGTTCTAGCCCCGTAAGGCAACCCGGAGGAATTGAACCCGTCTCACACAATGGGTGGGATTGAGTGTTCTAGCCCCGTAAGGCAAT